CTGAGACTTCTTGAGCAATTAAACCGTGTTTAACCATCACCATCAGTGCACTGGCTTAGAACCTGCCACATGGTAGGCACTCAAACATGCCTTAAATTAACTAGCTAATCAACAAATAAAAAGAATCTGAGTATCTTGACTTAATGTCCACTATAACCTTCTACAACAGTTCTAATTAGCCCCGAAGAAAAACACATGTAATTTACTATAATAAATACCTTTCTGCCCAAAAGACAAAGAGCCTATAATTGTCACTCTTAGGTCCTAATAGCCTCTATCTATCTCAAGATTGTTTAAAAGGATAGAAGGGAGAAAATGCTAGCAGCAGCTGCAGGATGTTGGGTTCTTAAGGACCTTCCTCTCCTCTCCCTGAGCATATCGTGTTCAGTGCCTGCCCATGTCTTGTGGAGTCCAAGGTCACTGTCTGACCTTGGAAATGGGCAGTGACGCCAAGTGTAGCCATACTTAATATGGTCCATTTGCACTTAAAAGTTTAATGTTAATGTTAAAAATCTATGTGTACGTTTATAAAATTAGTACAAAAATGTATTTTTAAAAACTATTCTTATAAAATTAAAGAACTGGTATAGAAAAGCAGAAGAATGAAGCAAATCAAAGCATGTGCATGTCTCTCTGGCTTCCAAGCATGCAGTGACTCCCAGAGGTTGCAGTCTGAATTCAGTGGCACTGCTTTGAATCTCATCAAAAACAACCCCCAAATCAGTAGCTGAAGACAGATGGCAAATATTTGGTTAATTAGACAACAATAAAAATGATAGTCATTTAAAAAAAAAATCACACCCCAACCTAATCCCCTTACCAAAGAAATAAGTATTTTGATTATTCTCCAATGAAAAGCAAAACAGAGTTCTCCAAGGCCGTTTCTCTTGCAAAGACAAACTGCCGTCTAACCCCTTATAATTCTGCACACACAAGGGCAGGACCCCAGGAAAGCAAAGGTGATGCTGAAAGATGCTGGTGTTCTGAAAATGAATGTTCTTGACCATGGCTCAGTGGCAAAGGCTGCCCTAGACAGGGTGGAAGTTGAATCTTAGAATACTGTTTCTCTAAAATAGTTTAAAAAAAATTAAACTGCCTGGAAATGATAAAATAGCATAGACCTATTATAGTATTTCAATAAAAATTACATATGGATCTTTATATACTCCAAGATACTATCTCCTGGCTCTAACTATTTGCATGTCTGTAGGGCAAGTTGTTAAAAACTCCCTAGACCTTTGTTTCCTCATCTGGAAAATGGGCGTAATCAAGAACATCTACTACATAGCCATTGGTTACATTGCATAATGTCCACATGAAAAAGCTTAGATAGTGTCTTCTATTTAATAAACACTCAGTAAAGTCAGCAGCTGTTTTATTATCATCATTATTATTATAGAGGTTTTATTCTCAGACCTGTTCAAGCAGCATGACTTCAAATGTAAGAAGCTACCATCAACATCATCAATAATAATTCCCTTTCCTATAATATATGATTAAGTTGTGTTTTTCAATTTATATTGCTGTGCCCATTTGAACTTCGGGAAGATTCAAAACAAATCGCTATTCGCTACTTCATCGGATCCTCACAACAACACTGAACATAGAGACAGAGGAGCTCTTGTCCTCAAGACACAGGTAAGCTTCAGTTTTAGCTCAAGTAGAGGAAGTAAAATGACTTGCCAAAAGTCACACAGCTAGTAACCAGCAGTGGCAGGATTCAAGGCTGTTCTGCCTCCTCCTTCAGGGCTCTTGCCATCATTTCAGACTTTTCCAAAGCATCAACCTCCATATAGTTCATTTCAGTCAACAAATGTGACCCTAAATGGGTTAGCAGAAAGACCACAAATGGGAAGGGTGTAACGTGAACTTGGATTCGTGGTTGCATAAATACAAACACAGCCAGATCTGTAAACAACTTACGGTTCTGGTTTGAGTCTGACACACACACACACACACACACACACACACACACGCACACACACATGCACATGCACCCTGGTCATACACAAATAGGGTACAGCTCTATGAGAGCCGGTACTCAAGGGCTATGGGAGAGAAAGTGAGCAAAGGCCTGTGTTCTGATACATGTATGGAGCTTCATCCCTACCATATAACACAATACAAGCAAATGGCTATGGAGGGTTAAAGTATTTATTCAAATAATCCTTTTAAATTAAAATAAAAAGAACTTTAACTCAAAAATTTCGTCAGATGAGAAATTAAAACTATGTTAAAATTCTGGGGCACCTGGGTGCCTCAGTCAGTTAAGTGTCTGACTCTTGATTTCAGCTCAGGTCATGATCTCAGGGTCCTGGGATCCAGCCAGCGTCAGCAGGCAGTCTGATTGTCTCCCTCTCCCTCTGCCCCTCCCCTGCTTGCACTCTCTCTCTCTTAAATAAATAAATCTTTAAAAAAAAACTATATTAAAATTCTTGTTCAGATACATTTCTTAATTCTACATATGACTTACATGCATAGAAAGGAACAAAAGACTCAATTAAACTAAGTAAGTCCTTTAAAAATACAAATCTCTGCTCAGAGGGTAAGAAGGATTCAATTAATAAAAATTCAAAAATCAAAGTAAGCTTTAAAAGAGATTATCATCCTTGTTCATCTTACTGTAATATGACAGGCAACCTTCTACTCTTAATCTGAATATCTTTGACCATTATTATTTATTATCTATCTGGAAAGAAAGGAAAAGGTATGAGCTAGGAGTAAAAAAGTGTTTTATCAGAACACAGGAGACTATCAAACATAGTATAAATTGCATTGACAATGTTTAAAAAAAAAAAAACCTACCGATGACAAAACCAGAATGGAATTGGCACTCTGTGATGTTGCTTTTTTAATCCTGATGTTGGAACACGGGATGAGCAAATTCCATGAGCTAGTTTTATTTAATCTTGCACCCTCCTTCACCAAGGGGCCATATTCAGTGACAACTCTGCAGCCAAACACCCCAGGTCCAGCTGAACCCTTTACTCTATTTTTCTACAAGGAGTCTTATGTCTAGCCCTCTGCCTCTACCAGTAATTAAATGATGGCCTTGGTCAATATGATTCAATATGCATCAATTCCTACCTAGCTCTGTACCGTACCACTGCCCCGGCAACTGCTGGTTGGTTAAAATGGCACATCTGGAGGGGAATGGGATGACCCGGACAGCTCTGCTCGCTAGACTGGCTGGGACAGGGACACACAGGAGAAAACAGCAGTGTTTCTCAATGTGTATCCTGAAGAAAACTGCTCATGGGAGAGATGCCATTCAAAAGTCCAATTTCATGGTCAAATCAATTTGGGAAAGACAGTACCTTGAGCCTGTGTCTGGGAGTTTCACAATGCACATTGGCATAGTAAGGGTTGTGAAGAGTCCTATAGAAAACAACTCTGTAATACTTTAACTCAGCAAGTCCCAAATTTATTTGACTATGACTCTTGCCAGTAACACTTACTAATACTGAAACTTAGTTAGGGAAATGCTTGAGACTACATTTATCAGATGTGTGGCTTCAGATCTAGCTACAAGACAACTCTCGGTTTCCCTGACCAAGAATTGTCACTCAATCAAAGGGTTAGTGTAAGAATTAAACTAGAAATGTGTCTTTCAGATTTTCTGGCAAACTGTTAAGTAATCTGTAAATTTTACCTTAATACAAGGAAAACATATATTTCTGAAACACAAATAGAGAAAAACATATTTTTGGGTGACCATTACAATGATCCAAAGCAGTATACTCTTTATAAAAATATTTGCGATCATGGACCCACAACCCAAATGTATGTCTTTTCATGTGCAAAGTGAAAGAAGAGAACAAAGTGATTACCCAAATATTTCAAGTCAACTTCTCTTTCTATAAAAATATAACTTTGCTTGTTAATTTTCAGATAATTCAAGCTTGCTAAGCTTGAACGTGGATGTGGAGGATAAAGCGGTAGTCAGCGTCATCAGAAAAGTTATAATAAATCTCCACTTAACTATTTAAATAATATTTTATTAATAGATTAAGCCTTAGGCAGATACAGTCATTTGACCGTCTTTGAAACCACTAAAGATATATCCAAAATATTATGATATAATACACTGAAAATTCCCCCAATATCTGAGAATTAGTGTTTCCACATTTCTAAACACCCAATTTTTTTTTTATGGTCATAGTGAGTTTTATTTTTTTTAATTTTATTATATTATGTTATGTTAGTCACCATACAAAACATCATTAGCATTTGATGTAGTGTTCCATGATTCATTGTTTGCATATAACACCCAGTGCTCCATTCAATACATGCCCTCTTTAATACCCCATCACCAGGCTAACCCATGCCCCCACCCCCCTCCCCTCTAGAACCCTCAGTTTGCTTCTCAGAGTCCATAGTCTCTCATGGTTTGTCTCCCCCTCAATTTACTATGAAAAAAGATTTGAGTCCTACATACAATAGGTACCCATATCATAGTCTCCAAAAATCATTTTCCCAGACATAAAACACCTTCTAAAACAAAATTCATAGATTTCCTTATAAAGTCAAGCATCTCTTGTTATTCAATCAAAATCTGTTTATATTCATGAAGGGGAAATCCTGATACCATGCACCTGATCATCTCTATTTCAGATTATCCATTTAAAATTTTTTCAATCACTTTTTTAATTTGACTCACGCCACCCATAAAAAGATATATTCAGATTTAAATTTGAATGCCATTGCCTATTTCATTCTTTTTAACTGAGAACCATAAAAGCATAATTATGCAAAGTTCTCCCTTCCCAAAAGACAGTTGGTAAAAAATGGCACACAGTAACACCATCTGAGTCAACAAGAAAACATTCAAAGACCTTCTCCTCCTAAAATGGGGGTGGAGGGTGAGGGGAGGCAGGTAGCTGTTAATGAATTTATTCAACACTTTGATGTTAGAATGAACTTTCTCCTCACTCATTGCATTTTAGGTTAGTGGTCAAAAATGATCATGTTTTCAAGGAGCTCTAACGGCAGTGCCTTACCAGTGTAGATGCTGGCATTGGAAGCTGGGATACCAAACTGTGACTCGATGAACTTGGGAATGAAGGTAATGAAAGCAGTTACAATGGCACTCTCAGCTGTGTATGACAAACTCACAAAAAGGAATGTCATGTTGCTTAAGATCCTGACAGCTGCTCTTGGTAGGTCTACAAAATGACAAAAATGACAAATGAATGTTATAAATAAGGGATGGAAAATAAAATAAGATTGAATTGTTTTTGAAATGAACTGGAAATAGCCATTCGGCAATATTTGAGACTACTGAATAGAGAATAAAAACAGAAAAACCTGATGACTGATTAGAAATCACCCCCTTTATTAAACAGATTTGGGGTTGCTGAAAATTTTTCAAGTAGGATGAGGAAATTTAATAAAGTAGCAGAAAACATATCCAGACACAAATAACCTTACAAGAAAAACCGAACCTATGACTCCTGTTCTAAAAACTGCTTAAGATAAATTGTTTACATTTTTTAAATTAAAACAATGTTATTTTTTGCTAAAACCCAAGAATCTACTAAATGCGCAAAGTATCTGCAGTACAGTGCTACATTATGGTTTCTACTTCATTCAACCAGCACTTCCCTGAGAAACCCACTTCTGAGTTGTCACATCCCTGATGCCGCATTGCAGATACCCACAGCAGGGGAACTGGTACATGATTCTGGACATTTAATCTTCCAGCCTCATTATGAAACAGAAAATGATGCAGCTAAAAGGGCTTAACGGTCAGGTCACCAGGTCAGATACTCCCAGGGACTTTGGACTGGTGAAGAAAGACAAATGATCTCCAAAGGAGGAGAGCCCAGAGGTGGGGGCTCAGGACCGGCCCAGCTGCCTCTCAAGGAAGAGAGAAAAGTCTCATCTTTAAGTCTTTGCATTTACTTTACAGAACTTGCCATATATATATATATATGCTTCAAGATGTATGTCCAGGTATCTTCATTTCAGCATTATTTATAATAGCAAAAATTTAAGGAAAAAGACTAAATGGAAAATGTTTAAATAAATTATGGCACAGCCCTATAATGAAATACTATGCAGTAGCTAAAAATGATACAGAGCTATATGTGCTGGCATAAAAGGAACTCCAAGAAATATTTTTATAAATGAATAAAGCAAGCTGCTGCAGAAATATACATATACATGAGTATGTAAATACATATACATATATGTAATATCAAAGTAAAAATCAAACAAACCAAAACAACATATTTATATGTGGTTGAATATATATACTTCCTAACATATACAACACCAATAAATTCTGTAATTGGAATAAGATTGGGAAAGAGGAATAAAAGAAGATTCTCATGCATATTCTTTTGCATTTTTGCATGTTTACAATGTGAATTAACCCACATTTATGTGATCTGTACATATCTTGGAATGTATCATGGAAAAGATAAGCTGCATTAGTTCTGACAGGTACAGTCATCTCAGTTATCAGAATGGTTATGCCCTGGGGCGCCTGGGTGGCTCAGTCAGTTAAGCATTCGCCTCTTGATTTTGACTCGGGTCATGACCTCAGGGTTGTGAGATTGAGCCCCACATTGAGCTCCATGCTCAGTGGGGAGTCTGCTTGAGATTCTCCTCCCTCTCTTCTGCCCCTCCCCCTGCTTGACTGTGTGCTCTTTCTCTTGCTCTCTAAAATAAATAAATAAATCTTAAAAAGAAAAGAACAGTTATCCTCTTACGCTACAACATAATAAAATCATTTCATAAAAATTAAGCAAAACTTGTTATTAAAGCTATAATTTATGACCTATACACCAGAATTTAAAACTTAGGAAGTCAAGACTATTTGCTAATCATTTTAAAATGTAAATTAATTTTAATGTTCTATATCTTAATTTGATCATTTAAAGTTTAAATGAACATTTAAAAAAATTAAGATGCATACTTCATTTTTTAACATGGACAAACACACCAGAAAAAAAAAATAAACTACTTCATAAAATTACCCAATATTCTCTTATAAATATGCAAATCAATAGATCTAAAATTTAAAAATTAGAGGAATGCCTGGCTGGCTCAGTCAATAAAGCATGGGACTCTTAATCTTGGGGTCATGAGTTCAAGCCCCACATTGGGTGTGGAGCCTACTTAAAAAAATATATAAAACATAAAAAAAATTAAAATAATAAGTAAAATTTAAAAATCAGAAGATTTTCTATCAACATTTGGAGATTCAAATTAAGTTTACTTGGTATATTAAATTTAAATATTGTTGAATCTAAAACATCTGGTGAAATTATACAATAAATTTTTTTAATCCAAGAAAATAACATATGTCTCACATGAATGTTTTAAAAGATACTAGTTAGGGCGCCTGGGTGGCTCAGTTGGTTAAGCAACTGCCTTCGGCTCAGGTCATGATCCTGGAGTCCCGGGATCGAGTCCCACATCGGGCTCCCTGCTCAGCGGGGGGTCTGCTTCTCCCTCTGACCCTCTTCCCTCTCATGCTCTCTCTCATTCTCTCTCTCTCTCTCAAATAAATAAAATCTTTTAAAAAAATAAATAAATAAAAGATACTAGTTATAGGGGCGCCTGGCTGGCTCAGTCAGAAGAGCGGAAGAGCATGTAACTTTTGATCTCAGGGTCGTGAGTTCCAGTCCCACGTTGGGTGTAGAGATTACTTAAATAAATAAACTTTAAAAAAAAAGATACTAGTTATAGAAAACTTGATTTTTCCTTTATACCCATTTGGTGTGCTAAATAGCCCTCTAATTTCAAAGCTAACTAAAAATATATGTAATATTTGTCTTCTCTTTCATAAATAAATAAAAAAAACTGGTGTTATTTAAGAAGAATTTAGCAAAAGTTGAAGTCAACAACTTTAAGTTAGCTTCCTCCTTTCTTCCACCTTCCTCCTTCCCTTTGTTGGAGCTAAACCTTCAGCATACATGCCCTGCAGGAACAAAGGGCCAGATATCCAGGCTTGTGTCTTTGGCAGGTGGGGCTGGGAGCTGGTTTAAATACAAGAAGAGTTAAGTGAGTCCATTGAAACTAATGGCAGTCAGCTTTCTAATGGCCAGAGAAGGGAGTTACAAATATGGACAGAGGATAGTTAGATATCAGATTGGAACTGAAGGTAATGGTATGAAGTTATGGGATAGATGGGCAGGATAGACAGACAGACTGACAGAATATGATTGATAGATCAGATTGACAGACCAGACAGACTGACAGAATATGATTGATAGATCAGATTGACAGATCAG